GTGACATCGGCCTTAGGGAGTCTCCCAATGCGACCCCCCCCGTTGACAATTGTGCAATTCACGGTTGACTTTCGTTGTAGTTAGGGGGTAGGTTTGTTGTTGATTACGGTGATTACTGTGTTCGGCGTCTCAGTGATAACACAATGTCGTAAGAGTTGAGAGAGGTGATTCATTCGAAAACTTGATTGAAGTGGCGATTCCCTCAAGGTCGACGAGAAATAAAAATGAATAGACATGAGAGTGATGGTGGAACTTACTGGTAGTCAGCTCCAGTCATCGTAACAGTTTCTTCGATACCAATCTCATTCTTTAGGAACCAGTTTTGTTGGTAACACTTCTCATTATTGATTGATTAAGTGTCTGGAGAAATACTGTGGATATGGCTATTTGTCAGACAAAGAGGGACGGCCGATTCTCATGTCATTACTGGGCAATATGGACGTAGAAGGTGAGTAAATAGGGACTGAATTATTCTTTGCTGGGAATTCATCAAAATTAGAAATTGGTGTATTCTAAGGTGCAATCCTAGTCGGGTGGGCACGTCGATTTTTCGAATACGGTAGGCGCAAAATGTACGTGGGGTTTGTTAACCACTTCTGTGACCTAACGGGAATCGATGGACTAGGCCTCGGGGAGATTGAGCCTCTCCCTCCTAGCAAGAAATACCCTCGAAGGTGGAACGTGCAACAAAGAGAAAGCGATTATAGATTCCCATAGCCTCCCGTAAGGTCCCCACGTACATTTTGCGCCTACCGTATTCGATAAATCGGCATGCCCATCCCACTAGCATTGCACCTATTCTACTATTGCTTCGTTTGGTCTCTGCACGTTCGAAAAATGGTGAGCGCTTCCTAGCCCCGCGTGCTGCGCTACGTCCTTAGTTATGATCGCATTGGCGGTAAGAATGGACGCAACCCGATCATTTTTCAAAAAAGGTAACCCCGTAAAAACTTGGCCTATTCGAACCCAGCCGCTATTAATTGTTAGCTATTTGACCTACCACAATCTGGTTAACCTTGGCGCTCGTTAGGACCACCAACAGCGACGAGAAAACTCGTTTTCGCCCTGATCAACGAATGAATGTGGTCACCTGCATCAGAAGGGGAGACGATGGCGATCTATCCTCTATCGCCGTCCAATCTTTTCTTGAGTTCCAAATTCACGTGAGACTGGTAGTAATTTCTGCGTTGTAAACCTTCACGTGACTTATTCCCCGAACTCTTCAGCACAGATCGAGATAGCGCATCTCCAGCGTAATATTTTCAAAAAAAAACCCCTTCAGTAATTCTACCGGGCGACAACAAGGAAGGCATATTGACAGTTGTTCTTGGGAAGGAATCTGGGTGGATAGAAGTTAACAGATGACCCAATTGTAATTTATATTATGTGCTATGTGACACATTTCTTG